TATCATATCTTTTTCTGTTCTTCTCTCTCTCTTGTGTGCGCGTATATAAAGCGTGTGCTTTGTGTTGTAATGCAGAACTGGAACGATCTAGAGTTGGAAAAGTGTAGAACGTTAACACCATATACACGAAGAATAGCAGTAACACTATTCTTCCAGTTTCTCGTTGTGATCACAAATAAAAAATAAAAGCTGCAGCAGTATCAAATTAAATAAATCATCTACCATCATTATAATTTGTTACAAACAGTACTTTTGAAGATGTAGAAACAAATCATCGGTATTCTAATCAAATTATTAGGAATAATGAGCACACTGTATTATGTCGTTATAGTAAAGTCGTTGCTATAATTTTTAGTATTTTTATTCGTCAAAGTTTTTCAAACATAGGCTACTACAATTGGTTGGTCTTCTATTCTGTAGAGGCGTACATTTTCATGAAATCACATGATTTAAGCGATTAGCATCGGTTAAAACAACCCATTTTTTTGAATAGTCATGTTAGGATAGAAAATTAAATACTTACTGGACGTTTCTTGTTGCTGTTGATTTTCTGACATCGTATCAGTACACGCAGTCGATGTGTCCAGTTGTACGCACAGCATTGTTATTGACTAGAATCAATAAATTTTCGTTGTTTCAAAGCTTGTGGCAAAACACAAAGAAACGAACAGTGATTGCACAGCGCTTATCATTGTTCGCGTGGCTTGTATATACAAAAACAACAGCTTTCTACCTGGTTGTTTGAAGCAGTTTATAGTTGAGTTTCAATGTCGCCAAACAGAGCGTTCTTTTCTTCCTTCTCTCCTCGAAAGAAAATGGGGGCCAGTTGTATTCAAAATAATGACTCGTCAATTAAAAGTCATAGTAGCGGCCCTCTCGTTTCATGATTACGATTCTTGACTAGCACTAATGTTTCATTAAAAATAAAATGAAATCTTCATTTTTTTTCGGAGTTCTTATTATTTAGTTTAGTCGTAATTAAGATCACAGTTTATAAATTATGGCTGATAAACATTGTTCTTTTTTGCTCGATAATAACGATTGTGGATATGGCTGTGAGTGTGTTTGTGTTTGTGTGACTGTAACTACAGATGTGGGTGAGAAAAGTCGTACATTTTCACTCACATCCACACCATTCGCCACATAAAGTGAAAATATGCGTGATTTCTTCGAAATCAAATATTGGAGCTAACGATACCCAACAAATTTTGGGGTGTGGGTGTGGGTGTGGGGTGTGGGTGTGGGTGTGGGTGGGTGTGGGTGTGGGTTTGGGTGGATGTATGCGGGGGTGTGGATGTCGGCATTCCCTATATCTTCACCCACATCCACACACCCACACCCACGCCCACACCCTTGACCGGGAAAGGTGAAAGTTTTTCGGTTGTGTCATATGATGTGTTATCCCAGATGGTTCACCATCGACAAAACTTGGATTGATAAATAACTTGCTGTTTTTTTAGCTTCTTTTAACCATAGTTTTGTGCCACCTCACATAGCTCATACTGACCCAAACATATTGATAGGTGCACTAAGTCTTTTTACCAGACTATTTTATCAGCTTAATAGAAATAAGTACACGCCATTGTCATGTTCATAAATCCAATATTGCTCAAGAGCAAGATATTCTCTTCGAACTCTGAACAAGTCACATGTTACTTGGAAATTTTAGTTCTCGCTCTAACTACGTTCTCTATTTTTCAAAGCTCTTCGGCACCATTCGTCTGAACTGCTCTATACATCTGAGTTGTAAGTTCTATGTAAAAAAATACTGATGAAATGCTGGAAGTTTCTCACTATGACTTCCAAGTATGAACATGCAGTCCAAACCTTTTCCATTCGACCTTTAGCATTTCACACTAATATTATGCTTTACTCGGAAATTTTTCGTCTTCGTTGCTATGCATCCCTATGTGACCGACAATGGTTAACCTTCATTTGTATAAATTAGTTCACGATCAACAGCTTTTCTATTGTTACTCTTAGTTTCAACGAGAGTTTACTATTGTGTTTATGATTTTTTGATATCCTTAGTCTCCTTAGATTGCAGTTAGATTGTATAGGTTTTGGTTTTTTGTTTGTTTTAATAAGTAAAAGTTATGAGTAGAGTAAAAGAGAAAAAGAACTAGACTCTTCGCAGTATTTTGGTGCTAAGTATGTAGTATTTAAAATGTCTTCTTTTTCTTTTAAAGTCTTCCTAAAAATTTACTCATGACAATAAAATAATTTAAGCGAACGTGTCCCTAATAATTGAATTGTATGTTGTTGTTAGTTAGAATTTTCACACTAACACTTTTCGCTTATTTTTATTTTTCAAATCATTTTTTTCTTATTTTTGCAGCTTGGCAACGCTTTCTACTTCATTTTTGTCTGTCTTGCCTTCTTTTTCTCAAATATGTTCTCTATCGAGAAGGGACATACATAGCAACAGTAAAATATTCACAGGAGATGTGAACGAAGAATGATAATAAAGAAAAAAAATTCGTATACATTTTTATTGAAATTTGTTTTAAATGAGAGATAGATCTTAATTCAATGATTCGATTACTAATATTTAACAAGTTATGACTGTTCTTAGGAAAATTCGAGAGAGTAGACCCAAGTGAACAGTTTAGAAGATTCAAAATCTCACGATAATTTCATAAAAAAAGAAAAACATTCAGTTGGTTCATTGGACGTCGGCCTGTCCAAGCGTGATGAAATCACGTTTTGTCACCTTATTTTTTCAATATCTCAATCAAATGAAGTCTGATAAGGCTGAAATATTTACAGGCTATGTAAGTCTATTTTCCCTACGCACACTGAAAGTTTCATTAGACTTCAAGTTTTCGTACCTACTTCATGGTTGAAATATAGCCTGTGACAGAATCACCAAAAATGGACTTCAGTTTTGAGTGTTGTTCAAAGAATTAAAAAAACTTAGCTCAACTATAAATATAACGAAAAGAGTTTCTCTAGAAAAGTTGTAGCTCAGACGACGAATTAAATACACAAAAAAAGAAAATTTGAATAATATGCAATGGTGATTTTGTAGATAGAAAAAGGAATTTTGATGGAATCACCTTTGAGAAATGATAGTGTTTTTCAGCTTTAATTTTCTGCAGAAATACAAAGGTAGTTTCACAGATTAAACAATCTGATGTCATCTATAAGTAACGAAAAGAAAACATTTTCGGTCATTTTTCTGATAAACGAAAATTATTTTCGAAAACGTCAATGATACATTAGACATTAACTGTCAAAGTAATTGCACGCCAGCGGCAACAAATTTTAGCAAAATTTTGCTCGATGAAGGTTACCCATCCGGCTGATATTTTCATGGGAGGTAGGTCTGATAAAGTTAGAAAGAAACTAAAATTATCGTCTCAAACTAATGAATCATTATGAAGACATAAATGTTAGAAGTAGAAGTATTTAAACACATTTGTAGTATCTTGGGGGAAATACTTACCAGTTAGCTTTGATTTTTTAAAGAACAACAAGAGTTGTAATAGAAACTTTTTTATCATAGACTGTCGACTATTTTATATTGTTCTAAGAGTTCGAAAGTGCTGTATCAATCCATTTTTTTGCTGATACCATATAGCATCAGTAGAAGTCGTGCCTACTTTGGTACACAAAATGTTTTGAACACAACTAAATACTGTCACTTTTTTTACACCGATATCCAAGTAACAGGAAGTGTGATATTCCTATTAGGAGACTTTGATAGGACAAGCTATAACTTTCTTTCTACCATCACTCAATTATTTTCTTTTTCAATCTTTTATGACAACAGATTGAAGTAAATTGATTTCATGCTCCAGTATAGTAATATATGACATCCTCTTCGTATTGGTCATACATTCAGTCATTTTCAATCGCACAATGAACAAATAAAAACCCAAACTAATATGATGGTTGAAAAACTAATCAATTTTTTTATTTTGTTTTATTTCTTTTCTTTTCATTGTTCATGAACCGATATCAATAGCACAAGCTCTATATGGGCTGCACTATACAACAATATATCAATAATACGTAAATACCATGTCTATCAAATACAGGATAGACAACAATATATGTTAAATTTTTCAAAACAAAAATCAAAATTTTAAGTTTTGCTTCTAATTGATAGGACTATAGTTACTTAATACTTCTGGACAAATTACCAGACATACTTACATATATTCTATTTCCAATACAAGCTGTAGGTAGATTGTATAGCAGCATTCCTTAACAAACAGATAATGATGCTCTTGCTATTGAAGACAAAAGAGATTCTAGTCTACCTTATGATTCTAAGCAACAACGATTATTATTTAAGTGACTATAATAAATCTCATCGGATCTTAGACGACTCTTATTTTAATGAATATATCAATTCGGAAATCTAATCAATTTTGTTAGATTATGATCAATATCCTTGATTTTAGAGGAGAAAACAACCATGAACAACTAATGAAAATTGATTATTCTGAAAAATCCATTCCAACGAATTAAGAAAAAACTGTAGAAAACTGATTATGCTTGCTACTAATTGATTTTATCCTATTCTAATAAAAAAAACCAAACGGTGGTTATCGAAAAAAAATGATTAATTCAGAATTGAATATACGAAAAAAAATGATTACAATCTTCAGTTAAAAAAAGACACAATTGCTTGGTTTCCATTAATTACTTAAGTGTCAAATCGATAAAAATCATGTATGTATTGATTTTCTAGGCTAATTTTAATTTCGTGAGAAAGAATGAGAGGTCTATCCAAAAAGTGAGATTTTAGAATTGATAATCAAAAATAATCGTGATTTTCTCATGAATATTTTTCACTGGATGTATACGGAGTTATGACACAAAAACTAGTCGCCTTCGATTCTTTGAGGATGTGGATATGACTCTTATCTCCACTTATACCCACATCCCACATTTATTAGTAGAGATTTGAATGGGTCAACACGAGAAATAACATAAAAAAGTTCAGTTCAACATTTCACAGCGTGCTTGTATATAAACAGCCAATTATTTTATTCTTTTTTGAATCGTCGACTATGCGAGTGCCAAGCATGGTGGCCTTGTATAAATAGTTTTAAGTGATCAATGTATATTATCAAAGCAGCTCTATTTTGAGAATCGAACTCAAGAGTATTGACTTGATCAGCTAATTGAATAAATTCTTTTAAATGGTCGTCATGCATTCTGACAGCTTCACAAATTGCTTGGTCAATAGAACATTTCATTTCATGTTGAATAATTAAAATCAGATTCATTTTTTCTCCGTGTTTTAATTCTTTTGGCCATGAATAAAAATCGTTGCAAAATCCAGTCATTCGTGTTGTTAATTGTCTTAATCGCTTCATAAATGGATGCTGCATAACTTTTTCCGAAAAAAAAAATCCACACTGTAATTCAATCAAATCTTGTAAAGAATCGCATGCACTTAATCTTTCACGAATATTTACATAATCAATGATTGATGGATATCCATCGTACTGATATTCCATTAACATTCCATCAAAATGAAATCTAAGATCATTAATAAACCGTTGCATCCAGTCTGAAGTTACTTGCGGAAGTAATTCATGTCGTAATTGAAATAATTGTTTTTGAGTTGGATCGTTTTCAATAGGCATTTGCCGACCATTTAGTATTTGTTCAAAATCATTAAATATTAAATTTATCGCTTCGAAACTAAATGAACAGTAATAATCGTCAAGAGTGAAAAGAAAAACAATATATCGTGAACATAAAAGCAATTGATCATATTTTGCTCGAGGAAACAGAGTGCTAATTCCCCACGATAAACCGTCTGTTTTATATTTTCTTCGTTGTTCTTCAGGTATCATTGTATATTGATCAATTAATATATTCATATCATGATTGAGACGACCTGTTTGACTATTCAACATTAATGCAAATGGATAACTGAGTGTTGTTTTATCGTCTTCTTGCATATTTGCTTTTAAAAACAATGAATATAATGCGATACTAAAATGAAGAGAAAAACAAAAAAAAGAAATATCTTGTACTTCAATCAATAGTTCACGGAGACCAAAAATCAAAATATTAATGTTCAATATTATAGAGTAAATTGATTAGAAAAAAAAACTTTACTTTTTTTTTCTTGACTCTATCGATTAAAATGTGCATTGCACAACTCTCATGAAAACGACATAGTTCTTTGAATTACGCTGGTAATAATGTCTTCAGTGACATCACTAATCTGATGAAGAGCACGGACTTCAAATGATCTTATCTTTATTTTATGAGTCTAAATTGGACTGTTTCATTGTTGCTGCCAATTCCATGTGAGACGACAAAAGTTACAAATTATATTCGCATAAAATTTTACAGTATAGCTGTAATCGATAGTTTTCTTATGGCTCATTTGCTTATGACCATCACTGACTTTTGGTACTATCTTAGCACGCCTACTATGCTGTGTCTAATTCTTTGGAATTTTGTAACAGATAAATGGATTATGAATAAAATAAAGAGTAAAACTACGGAGACAAAAAAGAAAGTTTCGACTAATATAATCCACATTAATGTAATGCTCATCAATCTACGATTTTCGTCTTGGCACTTATGTGATAATAATGTATCAAGTGAAATAAAATAAATTATACAATTGATATCGATTGAAACCATGATGTATTTTGTTATGATTGATGGATAATCATTAACTGTATTTGAATAAAGCAAAAGTGTCAAAAGAAAATCTAAATTTAATATATCACATATTGTTGAATTAAAGCTTTCATTACTCGGCACGACCAGAAATATAATATTAAACAGTAAGATGATTTTATTAGATAAACGACTTTAATCGCGAAGTTTTATTTAAGCTACAATAGAAATCTCTCTTTTAATCTGAGTTGTTTATTGTTGACTATTAAAAAAGAACTAAATTTATAAAACCATTCTCGTAAGAGAATATCTATAGAACAAACTAATTTTTCTTGGTAATTATGGATAAGATGATAATGACTAAAAGGACATTTATATTGAAGCTAATTATGAATCAGATGTGTTCTGCATCTCGCGGTCCAATTGGATAAGCCGTCAAATGACATATGAAAAGCTATACAGTAAAATTAATGGTGTGGATCTTTACTCATGAATAACGTTCATTGGGTTCCAATTTACTTTACTCTAGAATGAGAGTGTGCAGATGATTGTCATAGAATCAGTTTTCATAAGTTTTTTTTTCTTTCGATCTTGAACTGTACCTATCCATATGATGTACTTAAATGTCTTCTATAATTACAGAGTTTCAAAATAATGACCCAAATTTAATTGAAACTATCGAATGGCGACATATGGCTTTCATTCTCTAGTATTGACTTTTCTAATATGAATTAAGTGTATTAGCTTCTTCTACAATAATTCTATCAACTTCAGTAATTGTGTATCCATTTAGTGCTGATTAATGTTCAAATAAAGAATTCCACAAAACTAAAGTTTGATTACAATTATATCAATCACAAATGTTGCCTCAATCAGTCCGAATGACATCTTTCTAATTAGAACCACTACAAGAAATGATTTCAAGTAAGCTAATCATTTCAGTCAGATAATAAATCATATGATTCACATATGCTTGAAAAATATTTTAATTATACAAGAAGATGCTAAGTGATTACCAGTATTAAGAAGATCAATATTCTCAATATATTTTATGCCATTTGAGTTCAAATATAGAATTCAAGACTGATCATTTAGACATAATACACAATAAAGGAACTGATAAAAATAAAGGTGAGATAAGAAAGATGTATTGTGATACTCAAATCTAATGCCTTCCATAGAATATTTCATTTTTTTAAAAGACGTATTAAACTGAACTAAGGTGCGGGTAATGCAAAATTACAGCAGCTCTTATTTTTCGCCTAAATGTATATCATTAGATGCGCCTTTTCAAGCTGATCACGAATATCTACTTATTTTTTCAATTTAACAAAGCGTTCACCGAGAAAAGTGCAGAACACTGAGAGGGTCTAAAAATCAGCAAAAAAATTACTTTTCAAAAAACAACATTTATTTCTTTCCTGTTCCACTTTTCGCTCTCGTCAATGTGATTTTCGAACTCCTCATAGGAAAATGAGTCTAGAAACGTTATCTAGAGCTTTATCGAATATTACATGTTCAACCTGTCAAACGAGCTCTTAGCATCGCTTCATTTTGTAGTAGTCTATCTTGCAAACCTATCTAGTTTTTTTTGCTGATAGATAGAGCTTCCATTCATACATCATTCGAAGCGCCAATCGACGAGCTACAAAAGTATAGCTCGGGTTTTTTAATATCTTTTCCTATGCTGAGAGAAGGCGTCTACAATGATAGCATCGAAAAAATCGGCCTAGTAATTTTTCAATAAAAAATACATTTCTCATTCAAAACTTGTAGAAATAAGGTGTAACAGATAGAAAACGATTTAGAATACAATGGAAGAGGTTTCAAAGCTTCTATTCTCTAAAAATAAAAGGTGTCATACGGAACACTTTTAAGGTTTTACTCAAGATATTGAACTTTTTAAGGTTCTATATGCCGGTACCATTTTCTGCAGTTTTTTCGGTTCTATTGAACAAGTACAGAACCCATAAAAGGCTCAGACTTTTCTACTAAACCCTTTTCCAGTTCAAGAAACTTGTCTACAACTGAAAAAAAGGTTTTATATCTCGGTAACAGAAAAGATTTATTATAACAGTTTTTGTTTTTAAAGAGTAGATGCTCTCCAACAGGATTGTACCAAAACTTGAGGCAAAAATGCAAATTTATTGAAAGCTGTGGCATTCATTATGTTAAGTGAATTGTTATGTAGCGCCATCATGTATGCATTTGAATGGGCGTTCTGATGACCAATGGGCAACATTTTTACGTAACAAAGATCGAAATCGTTTATTACCTTATCATAAAAAAGTTATTCATATGTATCGAATTTTTAAATCACTTATTAAAGCAATTCAAGATGCCAAAAGTTAATAGACGAAGAAGTCATTCACGTCATGTAAATTCTAGAAGATCTATAGAAAGTATTGCATCGAATGAAACAGAAACATTTTCAAGTGAAGAAGAAAAAATCTTTATCAATCCAGATGCAGATATTGATCATATTAATTTTGCCAATGAAGCTGTATTAAATGATATTAGTGATCTTTTTTCGTTTTGTAAAGAACAAATTAACACTCGTTTCATCAGCGTGCTTATATATATGTCTTTACGGCATCTTGGTCATTCATGGAGAGACGTCGAGTCATTTTTAACATCAATCGGTGGTATGACTATAAAAACATGTCACAAATGGACCAATATTTTAGTAAACAAAGATTTTGATGAATTCACAATTG